AAAACCATAACTTTTGCAAAAACTGTTAATATTTATAAATTAATTTCACATCTTCTGAAAGAAATGCTTTTAATCTGTGTTTTAAGTTTATTATTAAAGAAAAGAATCTTTTTTCCGTCATTTCTCAATCATGACAGGGAGCATACGACGGAAGTGACCGGTCGGCAGGGGATGCTCACTCCTGTATGGCGCCTGATCTAAGATGTTTGTGGTCCATGTTTGTTCTGCTCCTATTTTGTATTGTTTTATGGACTTTTGATATTGAATACTGTTCGTTTTATCAATATGTTCATTAAAATGTATGTTTTCTTTATTTAATACCGGTAAATTATTCAATCTTTAAAAATGCTGCTATAATAAGGAACAATAACCACCTCAAAGGTATCTTCTCTCTAGTATTTTCCCTATTGTAGTTCTTACATGTCTAAATAATCATCACAACTCAAATTAACATAAAATACGAAGTAAATAAATAAGGCCTTTTTTCCCCTTTAAATTCTACCCCAGGCCATTACAATTGTATTTGAACTAGTTTATAGCTTATATATTATTATCAATTTTAAAATAGGCATAATTTCTCATTTGTAAAATAAAACTCTGTTTTGTTGTTTTCAATCTTAAAAATAAGCCAAATCTATATTTTTTGACATTATTATTAGAAAATTCTAACTTTATTTAAAGAAAATAAATCCAGCTTTTACTTCGAATAATTGAAATTGTAATGGTTGAAATACCTTTAAGGTATACATTAAACAAAGAAATTAAGAATTTTGCATAGAAAATTTACTTTGTATAAGTGCTTGGATACTGTAAATCACTTTTTATTCGCGAGAACTTTATTTTCGCGTAATTACGCGAGACGGTACGCTCGCGAAAATTTCATTCTCGCGTATAATAGAATTCCTTAAGATTATATAGAGCAGTGACCGCAATTCGTGAAAATTTTGTCTCGCTAATAAGGAGTCAATGGCTATCTCGCGAAAATAAGGTGTCGCGAAAATTAAGTGATCTACAGTAGTTAAGGTCTAGCCTTTTCACAACAGGAAAATTTTATATGCATGCCCATTAAAAAGTGTGTATTGCACACCCCCTACACGCTATATAGCTAAAAAAAATATAGAGTAGAAGATTTTGAATTCAGCATTAATGTATAAAAGGTTTTACTGTTTTATGCTGCGCACGAGTATTTATATCCAAAAATATTGCATAAAAAAGTGATTTTTCCGGGATTTTTTTTTCTTACTCAAAATTTTCTTATGTATTTACTCAGTTGAGGAAGAGAGGGGGAGGGAAAAAGAGAGATAATACTGCAGAAAAAGAGAACTGGTGATTGCTATGCTATCAAAATCATCCTGTTTAAATATTGCATAGTTACCTTACATTAAATAGTAGTCCATTGTATTATCGTGTATAATCAAGTTTTGTAATTGACAAAATTTCCTACCTGGTACTTTTTTCCTGTAATAATGAGTAGTATGTTGCAACTGATCTGCATTTCGCAAAGATTAATCTGGATTGCCAAATCAGGTATTGAGTATCTTTTTACATGCTTCAGGTGTGTCTTACTTAGACCTTTCAGTTAAAAATGATTATACATTAAGATGTCTTATCTTGAAATTGATTGAAGTTTTTCAAATCCGGATTGCAGATTGTGGCTACATCATTATCAAAACAAATCACACTTTAATAGAAATATGCACCATGGCACCTGATCCCATCTCTGATGTTTTGGAGGTCCTTGTTTGCTCTGCTACTATTTTGTATTGTTTTATGAACTTTTGACTACTACTTGTATACTAGTCGTTATTTCCATATGTTTCATGCAAAGTATATGCAGAAGCTCAATTAATGAAAAAGAACTGTGTCAATCTAATAATTCTTCGTCTCTCAAGATATCAATGATAGTAATATTGACAGTTACCCTAAGGTATCGTTTTTTCAATCAGTGTGATAGCACTCATCAATATTATAGGAAACCCAGTATCAATTTGTAATTGAAGTCCTGTTCTAGAAGTATTTACGAGAGGTTCTTAGATTGAGTCGATAATTTAAGTTTATTACGATGATAATTTTTCAAATAATTATTAAATGAAAATGACATAATATGATCACTCGGTGCTCTCGTGTACCGTTTCATGATGTCCAACAACGCCATTGTTTTTCTTTGTCCGCTCCCTCTACCTAATACATGTACACTGTCATACACATTTCTAGATAAGATTCTGAAGATAGAATGCAGTAAGGACCCAAATCTATTTTGTTGTCATTGCTTTACAATTTCTTTGTATGCTTTGTATGCATATACCATTACAAATGCATTTATACATAAAGAAAAAAAATTAATAAACTTTTTTCACATAGATGTAAATATGAGCAATAAAATGTCTTTCTGTGTTTGATAGTACGGGAATTAATGCCGCAGATTTTCAAAAAAAATACAGAGATAGAGAGGAAAGAGAGAGCTATGGAGATAACATATTCAAGCTCAAAAAGTGCAAACATTCAACTCCTCCATGGAAGAGTGAGCATGCGAACCAGTCGCATACGCTGTGTGCTTCTTGTCATGAATGGAAAATAAAGGAAAAGTTCGTCGTCAATGCAGTGTGTTAATATTGAACTAGAATTAAAAACGGCAGTATAGACAGCTTTTGACTCAATGATAAATTAAATTTGATGACAAAATGATGACTTTAAATGAGCCTGCTGATAATTTACCTCGTTTTAGAAAATTTACATACGCAGCACACGTTCTTCAGAAATCAGTTAAGAGATATAAACTCCGTATGCAAGTGATAAAGGTATATTACTGCATAAGTAAGTGAACTTGTCAATTGAACGTTAAAACCTCATCACATCATAGAACTTTGATGATAGATTACCTTTAACGTCTTTTCAAACAAACTATCCAATTATAAAACAGATGTGTCATACTCTTTGATATCTTTTATCTCAAGCTTACACTCATATATCGTATCGACATGACAAAGGAAACAACCATAATTGATTGTTAATTGAAAATACGTCGTCGATATATCTAAATGTCGAACTAAAGGCTACATCAAAATTTAAATTCTTTTCACTTCTGTTTCATATAGATACAAAAATGGGTGTGCTAATAACGGGGCGCAATTGGTACTCATGGTAATTTCATAAGATTGTTGGAAGACATGGACTCCACAAACCACATAGATATTTTCATTTAGAAACTCAAGCATTGTTTGTCAACAGAGAGAGAGAGAGAGAGAGAGAGAGAGAGAGAGAGAGAGAGAGAGAGAGAGAGAGAGAGAGAGAGAGAGAGAGAGAGAGAGAGAGAGAGAGAGAGAGAGAGAGAGAGAGAGAGAGAGAGAGAGAGAGAGAGAGAGAGAGAGAGAGAGAGAGAGAGAGAGAGAGAGAGAGAGAGAGAGAGAGAGAGAGAGAGAGAGAGAGAGAGAGAGAGAGAGAGAGAGAGAGAGAGAGAGAGAGAGAGAATATTTAAGATTAAAAACTGTACTGTAACAGTGTTCTCGGTGTCATTATAATCTTTATTCGTCTTGAAAATTAATAAGAAGTTTAAACAGATTTTGACGTCCAAGCAAATAATTTTTTAAAAAATAGTTTATAGTACATACATGTAGTATCTTTTTGTATTATATTGGTTTGGTTTTAGAACAATATCTAGAACATTTAACTTACATCAATTTGATAAATGTTTGTTTTCACAAATCATTTCAGTTGCATTTATTCCATGTTTCTATATTGTTTATTCCTCTTCCTTATTGTTGGACAAAAGCTTCGTTTCTGAAGCATGCAAAGAAAACATAAATATGTCATTTTTTTCTCATGTAAAAGGTGTGAAAAATATAATACAAATATATACGTCTTGAAACCGACTTCTGTCAAGGGACGGAAATGAACAAAGGGGATCATCTACTGAGAAATATTGATAAAAGTCTTTGACTTTCGTGCTTGAAGTAATGGGATGAACATTTTAAGATTGAAAAATTGAGTGATAACATGTTTTATATAAATTAGAAAGACAGATTTACAAATGATATAGTACTTGACGTGATTGATTTGATTCAACTGTTATCAGAATACATATCGATGCAACATACGTGGGATCAATGTAGTGAAAGGATATAAATAGATTATCATTATATTTTAATTGCCTTTAATTTGTTTTCTTGTGTTATTTAGTTATTAACATCCACTAATAAACGAGCATTATTTAACATAATTTACTTTTATATCTTAATCTTTGCTGTGCTTATTTTTGTTCATTTTTGACCATTTATATATAACTGCTTGCACTACAAGTGATTTTATATTGCTAAAAATGTTGAAAAACTCATAATATTAAAGTAATCAATCTGACAAAAACATTGGACAGACAAATCTGAGGGCTTCAGATCTGTGCATTATTAATACTTCGATTCATGGCCTTGCTTTTTGTTAGTTGTTTTGGACTTTACTTCTGGTACATACATGTAAGCATTTCTCTTCTTAACAAAAAGAATCATAAAATTATTTTAGCATATTTGACTTGTATATCTGATACGATATTTACCTTTCATCGGTTAAATACAGTCCAAAATGGCCTTGGAATGTCCATTATTTATTTGCACAGTCGAAAGTCAATATATTCTTGCTGTGCTAAAATACATGTACATGTAACATGTTTACAAAGGATCAGGAATAGTAGTGTGACATTTATGAAATTGAAAGAAGTCATTCTTTAAGCTTGGGAATACATACGACTTCGTACAATGTATAATAAGAGAAATATAACCCATTGCTTTGTCGGTACTAATTTTTTAATCAGAGAAAAACATTTCTGCAGCGAGCACTACTGGTAAGAGAATTGCAAATATATATTTTGAAAAATATTTTTATTGAAGATGTCATATTTGTAAACAAAAAAATTGACATTCATTTGTACTTAATTTTTCTTCTTGTTCTTCTGAACTATGACAATGCTTTTAAAAAATACATTTTTTATAAATGTTTTTGACTGTAAATAATAGTAATATTGCGCTTGTGTATTACAAAAAAAAACAGACGGAGAATAACACAAACAGAGAGGATTGCACAACAAATCTATGAATTTTTACTTCTTTACAAAATGGAAAATCGAAAATCAAACAAAGATCAACGCTTCTTTCTTAAAATCGATGAATATACATTATTAATGACAAAGCTTTCTCATTGTTAGTGATAAATAACCAAGATAAATTGCTCCTCCTTCCAGTATAATTATATATAGTCTATAACTCACTCTATTGAATTGGCATTCTTAGATATCAACTGGCACACAAAAAGAAAAGAAAAGTAATGCTGCGTTTAACTTAACAATATTTATTCGTTTGAGTCGCCCGCATGGTGCAGTGGTTAGAGCGTTTGCTCCAGAGTCGCAAAGTAAGGAGTTAGTCTCGGGTTCAAATCCTACTGTGGGGCGTGGGGACGGTTCCTTTAGATGAGAAATATAAATCGATGTCCTGTGTCGCAGTTGGTGCTGACACAAAATTTTCTCTCCCTGCTCAATGGCCCTAAGTGCAAAGTACATATGTATATATGTAGGACAGAATTTGCAGTTCTCCACCGGCAAGTGGTCGCGCCTCCATATGAGAAAAAATATTCTTGACATGGACGTTTAACAATATTTAAATATATTAGCTTAAAGATTAAACATTTGTTGATTGAGGAGGAACAATTTAATATGCTAAAGCAGTACATAATTGTTGCATATCGATATGTCAGTGCAGTTTTAAATGAACTTATACATATTGAAGAGAGAAATTAAGTGCTTAAACTGAATTTTTCACTTTTATATTTCAAACAATACCTGAAGAACTTAATTCATCAATAAACTTCAACCATTTTCGTAAGAAAACACATTAATTGTAGCACTTATTTATTATTATTTTTTTTTTGTTGAGAAAATAAACTTTAACAGAAATTTTGATTGTCTTTTATAGGCATATACTAGTATCATATGAATTGGAGCAATTCTAAAATAAATTAATTTAAAGTTTCAATCAAAACAATATAGCAATTTTGTGTTCTCAGGATTTAGATCCGTTTTGATGATGGGTGTGTGATACTATTGTTTCTACAGTTAAGACGGACACTGGGGAAACAGAGCCATTTTCTTTTGCTTTTTTAAGATTAAACCTAGTTTCATTTTTTCTTTCCTTTTTGTGTTTATGATTTGTATATTCCTTTAGTTTGTTGTAATAAATAGTAAAATTTGAAGTCACAATGGCTACTGGCATAGCAAGAATAAGAATCCCTGTCAATGCGCATACCATACCTACGACACGTCCAAGATAGCATGTGGGCACTACGTCACCATATCCTACCGTCGTCATGGTAACAACAGCCCACCAAACCCCAATGAAAGCATTATTGAACGAGTTTTTGTCTTCGAACTCAACATAATAAATCAAGTAACCGAAAAATAAATTTGAAAGAATAAATACAGCTATCAGAATTCCAAATTGACAAATACTAGCCCGAACAGCCAGGTTTATAACGTCAAAACTTTTGAATCTATTGAGGAATCTATAGAAACGGCATAATTGAAGAAGACGCGCGGAATATAGGATCATGATTACATAGGAGAATGCTTTGTCGTCAATGAAGTCTGGTTGATGAATTATTAAAGAACATAAAACCCAAAATGATAAAATAGCAACTCCATCAACAATATTAAGTGACGTGCAAAAAAACTTCCTCCATTTTATCGGCGTTACAACAATACGCGTGATATATTCAAGCGTAAAGAATATGCCACAGAATAGATCTACGTAGAAAACTGGCGGCGCAGCTGTTGTTTTGGTATAAATGTGCTCTTTTTCCACCGCTGAAGTTTCATTGAAGTGGTCCGATTTGGGCCTCCGCAGATCTGGGAGGGTGTTTAAGAACAAGAGCGATGTGGAGAGGACAACCACTAATAGGTAGAAGATGTTGAACAGCTATAAGAAAATATGATAATGATCATGATTCCTGATTAGAAAGGTAGATGTGTTAATATATTTCAAAATAAGATCAACAACATATGTAACGATTAATAATATTTTTTTTTCTCTCTCAATGGTGAAAGACTAACAATTTAAAGAAAAATTCGGCTATTTCTGAATTTTTTGCAAAAAAGTTCCTATATAATTTTAAATAAAAATTATTGTACACGTACGCTAGCTCGTCGAGATGAGGCAGGATATTGTACAGTTTTCCAGATGCAGTTTCGCCAACACCCCTTGCGACATTCCTCTATAGGGACATCTAGTACTTTATATTTTTCAAGATTTTTGATTTCCTTCAAAATACTCATGTCACTTTCATGTTTGTAGAAGGCCTTTAAACAACATTCACTTAAATAGCATTTGTCAATTTCCCAAAATTCCAGTTCGTTTCTTATAGTAGCTCCGCAAATGTTGGAAGGAAAATGAAGTTCTCCTGTTCTGTAGAGATCCAAAATGTAATTGAAAACATCTGGGTTTCTGTCGAAATAGAAAGAAGCTGGGGAAGATTTGACGGAAAAATCTTGCTTGAGAAAACTAAGTTTTGTACTTGGAATTTTTTCCAGAGTTTCGAAGGTTGTTTGAAATATGGAACCACTAATATTCAATAATACAGTAGTCATCCTGTATTATTTCATGTGCAAGTATTTCAAAAACCTTTGTCACATATAACTATATCCGATATTTAAAAGCAAGTGATTTCGAGAAATCGATGATGCATTTGGCACACGTCAAGAAAAAGACAAATTAAAGCATTTCTTGGTCTTTTTTCCAAATTAAAAACTTGATCGTCCCTTCTTTAGTTGTAAGGGAAAAAAATCAGGATTACATCAGTTAAGTCAATCCTTAATAATTAGTTTTCAAAAAAATATCTCGCTATTCTCCGCCGATATAAGAAAACACTGCATAAATGTACATGTAACATGATTTAAATCATGCACACCTGTAATATCACTTGCTTCCACGGTTGTTCATCCAATGAAAAGACCTCCTAAAAAGTGAATTTTAGCTGCCTGCATAAATGAAAAGAATCGATTGATATTCCTCCTAGTACTATTGAGATGAAATGTCAACAATTTTCTGGAAAAAAAAATCAATTTCATTAAATATGCACTATTCTATCTTGAAATAAATGATTTTCCTCTTTACATGTATCAGTTTATAACAGATAAAATCATCCGTTTCAAAACTCCACCTTAATTCTGAAAAATATCATCTTTCCTACTTCTCCAATTCATGATATCGCTCATTAATATTTAAACTGTAAATGAAAACAAACTGCTATATATGGACCGTTATACTATATCATCCATCAGGAAGTTTTTGAAAAGATTAGGCTTTCAATAATTCATTTTTTTTTCAGCAAATGAAAAACCGATGACAGGTTTGGTATCAGACTGCATAACGACCACCATATATATCTTTTGCTAACCACAAATCGATGGGTTTGCTTATATGTTATTCAAGCGACTGAAAAGAAAAACTTCATCTGTAACCAATATTGTATTCATAAATTTAACCTTTACGTAGAATCTATAATCATGTCATATACTGGGGAAGTGGCTATTAGTATTAGACATGTATATTTTTCTAAGGCTAATCATTGGACTTCTACAATGAAGCATATTGAGATAACGAACAGTATTCATGTTCCCTAAAACAATGCAAAATAGAAGCAGAGCAAACACGAACCTCCAAAACATCGCAGGTTGGATCAGGTGTCACATAGGTGTGAGCATATCCTGCCGACCCGTCACACCCGCCATGTGCTCCTCGCCTACAATCGGGGATAACGGGAAAAATAAGTCGTCAATTAGTGTATAAATATCATAATTGACTAACAATTACTATGAAAAATGTCATTGACTTAGTAATAAATTGTATTTGCTGACAAGGTCATTGTACTGACCATACAACTTCCAAAATGAGAAAATAAAATGAGACAGCTGAAATTCTTGTTTCATCAACTTGTTTGTCAATAATTTACCTCGTTCTTTCATAGAGCATGATCTTGCGTATCGAATCAACTAAGATATATAAACTTCGTATGAAAGTATATTGCTGCATAAATAAGGGATGTTGACGATAGAAAAATTAAACAGTTTGTTTATCATAGTGCTAGGTTGTTAGATTACCATTAACATCTTTTTCAAGAAAATATATCCATCTAGATATGAAACAGATGTGTCAGACTTTGTGGCATCTTTTATCTCGAGCTCACCAGGATATATCATATTGACATAAGAATGGAAATTTCTATTGTTAATTAACAATACGTCGTCGATATATCTAAATGTTGAGTTGGAGGCCACCTCAAGTGTTTCATTCTTTTCACAAATAAGATTTTGCACAAATTTTGCTTCATATGAATACAAAAAAATAGGTCTGTTTAATAACGAGCCGCAATCTGTACCCATGGGAATTCAAAAACATTGTTGGGAAACCTGTTACGAAGATCAAAATACGTATACAATTCAGCAAGTAATCAACTAATGCCCTGACAGTTTGTATGGAAAACGTCAGTCAGCGGTTGATAAGAATTTTATTTTTTTATTTTTTTTTTTTTTTGCACAAAACAAAACAATGAATTTGACGGATACTTTAGATAATTTTGGTTCAGCAAATTAACTTATTTGTCAATAATTTGCAATGTTTAAATATGTGGATTTTTTTTATAGAGCATGTTCTTACGTATTGAATCAACAGAGAGATATAACTATAACGTAGGTGTTACGGGTATATCACCACATAAATAAGGGAAGTTGACGAAGGAATAGTCGATGTTTTTTTCGACTGTTTATCATAGAGTTTTGTTATTAGTTTTTTTCTAGTCAAATATCCAAATATGAAGCTAATGTGTCAGACTCTATTTCATTATTTTTTTTAAAGTTTTACTGGGAAACATCAAGTCGACGAATAAAAGAGAGATACCATGTTATAGAATTTCTTAATCACCTCTTTATCGTTTAAGAAATACAGAATGTGACCTGTCGGCAGTGCAATTTCATTCCTCCTCTGGTGTTAAGGAGGTCCGAGTATTCTTTGCACCTATATTGTATTGTTTAACGGACCTTTGAGCTAGGATACTCTTCGTCATCTCCATATTATTCATACATAACGTTTTTACATAGCCGGTGAGTGTGAGAATCAAACATCTCCCTGATTCTTTTAATTAATTCTGACAAAGAGTCGAGGTCCTCTTTGTCGTACCTTTCCAATCACCCACTCTAACATCCACTAAAATTGATTACACAATGTTTGTTTGAATGTAGAGTGCTAATTGAAAGATCGACGTCCTCTAAAAATTGGTCTTTTTAGAATAAGTGATTTGCGACTAGATCCGTTTTCTTTCATCTGTTTTTCTGATAAACGTGTAAAAAATTTTATTGCTTGAGTTTAAAGATTTATGATTTAAGAACAAAGAATACTTAGAATTTTGTCTTATTATGAAATTCATAGTTTGTTAAAAATGTTCGGTCGTGCATTGTTAATGCATATACACATATACATATAAAACACATAAACAGAAATAAAACAAGAATTACCTGAAACACAATTTATAGGATCAAGTAAGCAAACCTGTTGTCAACGACGACCTCTGATGACACTGATAACTTAAAAAAATATGACATGGAGTTAACATTTTAACAATAACAAATAAACATTATTTTGCTTGCCGATATATCAAGGAAACAAAACTTCCGTAAGAGTATAACTACCTTACATGTCCTTATTTGTTCATGTGCCATTAAGTGACTCAGATTTAGTGATGTTTTATATTAACATTCCACAGAAAAACAACGTGTCTGTCCGTTTTTTCTTTCTTTTTTTTCATTTTGCTTTTATAGAAGCAAATAGAGTCTTAAGTGTTGCCTGTCATATTTATGAGGATTCAAGTATGTATATGAGGTTTAAAGTTAAAACTTAGATTATCATGTTTAATCTGAATATGAATGGTGAGTATATAAACTCCGTATGCCCCGTATTGAAAATATATTGAAAAAATAATACGATCCTGGGAGCTAATGGCATCCCAGGTGAGGTATCAACAGAGGGCTTCTGCAGACATTTTGCCTCGATATTTGTTATATATAATTTTTGAGGATTAATTGTTTTCCAAAAATAGATGATGAAGGTTTATTGCTAAATACAATGTCCTAGCGGATGATTTTGGGTATATCTGAATGTACAGATAAAGCTCGTCTTTAGTTAACTTATAGGTCATTGAAAGGCAAAGAAAGGTTACTGAATGGCTTTTCTTGAACCTTCAGTTACTTTCAGTAAAAACTGAATTTCAGATTGGATTAAGAGAGATATAATCATCCCGTATATTATTCTGTTTTTTGACAAGCTGGTGAATGATTTAGTATTTAGAAAATTTAAGCTTTAAAGGGTAAGTACTGACTCTGAGGATTTTGTTTTGATCTGGGATGTATCGATTCGACGCGTTGGTGCAAATACATTGTTTTGTTTCTTATTGAATAAACGTAGACGATATAACAAAAAGTAAGATACAGAAACAGCAAAAGTTTTCTTCTTTTCACTTGGATCTTTTTGTTCCTTGTAAATGGAATCTGCTTCATGAAAATATTTAAGAGGTTGGTTAACCAGTGAGAACAATTATCTATCATCTTAATCCCAAACAGAACAACTGATCTGAGAAGAATGATGTATTTTTTTGTCAAAGAGGATCTCAATCAATCGTTTTATAGGGGTATGGAAACTGATGCATTGTCGTTGTGTTTACAATTTTCATTTCTTTATAAAAGATAGCTTCAAATCTCATGCACTTTCTTAAAATTCAAATTAAGTAAATACGATTTCATAAAGAATCGGTCTGATATTTAATCACAAACATACCAAAATGTTTAGGAAAAATAATATGAAGTGTATTCCGAATCAAGTCAAAATGGAATTTGGTCTATTGAAATAAGATAACTTGTATCCAGCTGATATCTGTAGTCGGAACAAAGTGTCACTAAATAAAAAGTTTTCCATCCTCAAAAATTTGCTTTTTGTGCAAAATGAAATTTAATGTAAATGTGCTTATTTTGCTGACGAAACATAGACGTTTATTGATCTCTAAATGTGGTTTAATCTCGTCATCCTCTGCTTAGACAAGCATGACAATTGTCTATAAATTGGCTTGAAGCAAAAACTATAAGTAGCTGCTCGTTTTCTCTGTATATCACATTTACATGAAAAAAAACACTATTTATTGTCTATTTATTTTAGACACAAATACATCTTTAATAATCATATTTATATAATTTGTTTATCTTAGGGATAATACGCAGGGTTAAAACAAGCACAGCTGCTCCCAAGACATTTGTAAGTTTTGTATGGAAATTCTGGGCACTGATTCCGACAATCCTCGTCACTGCTACATACTGGAAAAAAGTCACACGATCAGCTGTGTGCTCTTAAATTTCACTTTCATTTTTAATAATAATATCTAAAATTTTCTAAAATGTACAGTTTCTGTTTGAAAATAAATCTCTACTCACTTTGTGAGGCGCGCAGACACACGTGCCTTGTTTACTACTCCAGTGTATGCCAATGGTCTGCAAATACTTTGTTTGGCGAGATACAGGGCGTCTACACTTTGTGCATCCGCAAAAAAGTCCACCAGAAAAGAAAAATCTTGTTTACATTTCCATAAGTGTATGAAATAATGTTGTACAGTGGTTTGGCGGTACAGGGCGTGCATATTCAATGAATTAAAATTACTGCACCATTATATAATAATATTTATAAGGATTTTTGTTAAAAGAAAAAGTTCATAATCTTGTACCAAATGATGCCCGAACCAAACAACAAGGGTTAGCATCTTATGCTAAATAATAGTTGTGTATGTAATTCAATGCACTTTAACATAAAATTAAATGAAAATTAAAGTGGATGTATTGTTAAAAAAAACTGCATGCTGTATCACATAAAGCTTTTCAATAATCTTTCTGGCGTTAATGTAAATAATAATAACATATATGGATTAAATATTTATAAAATTAAAATGAAAGCTAAAAACCAGGATATAGTTGTGTACAAACGCATGAAACCAACATAATCAAAGTAAAATTGATATTATGCTAAATATACCAAATCTAAGGGTAATAGTTGTGTATGTACATCATCATAAACTAAAACAAGCTTTAAAATATCTGGAGTGCATGATGCTATCGTAAAATTAAATAGTGCAAAATTAAAGTGTTATTTATTATTATTATGGTCATTAAAAAAACAGTTTGCAACTTATATAAAATTCGACTGTATCACAAAACCTAGTTTTAAAATACACACGAGCTTTGATTTAACCAATGATACATTTAAATTAATTAGTAAATATTTCGAGAAAAAATACACTTACTGTATGTAACGTTAACATATTTAATAACGAAGTTAAGCTATGAAATGTTCTAAAAAAGTCTTTTATAAGAACTACACAATAGCAATAAGATTTATTTTGAATTGAAAGATTTTTAAAATATACTATCTTAACAATAATTCTGCTTATTGATATAATTGATATATGTTTGTTCAATGGGAAAAGACATCATCAAAACTAAAACAAGAAGTAAAACGTATCAATGGATAAAGTTTATTGCATATCAATTATATATTAAATATCAAACTCCCAAATGGTGTAACAATTAATAAATCACACATGACAGGCAGTGAACATAAGTGGCTATGACAGGTGATTATTTATTATCGACAGCAGTTAAAATTTAGTACTCATTAATTACAATCTGTATAAAAATACAATAAGGGCTATGGAATTAAATATTTCGATGGCAAATGCGCAACAAAAGAAGACATACACTAAAACCTAGTTTTAAAATACATTCACTTCATTAAATAAGACAAACTTTATGCATTTAACCAATTTACCCAGATACCACATTCAAATTTTAGCATTGCACGCGTGCGCATTAAATGCATGTGCGTAATGACCATATCATCTTATCTACACAATCTATATACTTTAATTACTTAATATTAAAATATTTAATCCAAAAGTATTTAAAAAAATACGGTTATTCAAGTGTATTTTTGACACTCATTTCACTGCACACTTACATGTGACATACCTACTTGTGAAAGTTCATTACATCTATCTATGTTCTATATCCCACTCCATTTGGTTGAAAACCAAGGGAGTTATAGCTGATTAAAGTTTCAGCCAATCAGATTGCAGCGTACGTTCACGCACGTGTATGGATGTGCATGGTGATCATACCTTCTTGTAGAAGTCCATTACATCTATCTATGTTCCAACTCTCATCCTGTTTGGTTGAAAACTAAGGGAGTTATAGCTATTTAAAGTTTCAGCCAATCAGATTGCAGCGCACGTACACGCATTATGAATGTTGGTGACCATACCTTCTTGTAGAAGTCCATTATATCTATGTTCCAAATTCCATCCTGTTTGGTTGAAAACCAAGGGAGTTATAGCTATTTAAAGTTTCAGCCAATCAGATTGCAGCACACGTGCATGCACGTATTTTCATGAAAATTGTTTTATATTATGTTGTAGGATATTGCATATATGTTTGTTCAAAATTTCAAAGGATTTCATCAAAAAACAAAAAAGATATTGAGACTTTAGTTTCAGCCAATCAGAGCGAAGCGCACGTGCATGCGCGTGAGATGTATTTTGACAATGTCATATTGTCTATGCTACTATATATCCTAACATTATGAGTTTCAAAGCATTTCATCAAAAAAGTACAAATTACGCCTATTAAATCGGTCATTTCACGTGTTGCAAGCAACACAAAATGGCATGCAATTAGTGACAATGTCATCTTAATCTACATTTATACACATGTCTATATATTCTAAATATCATTAAAAGATACACCAATTTCACATTAAGTGGCGCGCTCTTAAGCACAAAATGACCTTCGTTCCGTCGCCTACTTAACAAAAAGGTTTCCCCTTAATCGGATGTGTACTTTACAAGATCATTCGCGGACAAAATTTTCCCGAGAAGAAAAATAATAATAATAATAATAATAAGAAACAGAGTAAAAACAATATGTTCCCCAACTTCGTTTGGGGAACATAATTATGCCTTGGACAGTACAAACCAAGTGTGGAGCAAACATATTTGAAATCGTTGCGATTTTGTCAAAATGAATAAAATTTAAGAAAAAAATCCTTACATGTATGTTAATTTTTTTTTCAAAACAAAAAAAATTCAACCTATCATCAAAGAAAACAAAAGGCTTTACAGAAACTTCGAGATAAAATTTGGTTCTCTAGTTGATAATTCAATAACCCCACCCCACCTCCTTTATATACATTTACTAGTAAGTCATTTACATATATACATGTACATGCATTACTGAAACGCATAAACACTAAACAAAATTGCTAACGCACATGTCCCGGATTGGTACTAGTGTATATAATATACCACTATTCCAAAACAATGGGATTAACAAATGTCTTGGTATCATAAAAAGACCGTTTAATGACCTTATTATCTGAAAACTGATTTCCATATGTGCATTGTGCACCGTTTTTGCCCAGAGAAGACATTCTTGATAACTAAAGGTGGTTTATGAGGTTGCCACAAAAGTAGTTCCCAAGTTTTAAGAAAAAGTCATTATCTATCATATCGCCTAGTACATGTAATCATCTAGTGCCTTAGTGTCCATAAACTGTGTCCTAGTGTCCATTCCGGTTGACCAAGTCTTTAGGAACAATTTTGAACTTATCTTATACTGCTAACTAAATGCCATGACTATCAATAGTAAACATTTTTTTTTATTTTGAATTTATTTGACAGGAATTCAAATTTTTTTTTTTTTTTTTTTTTTTTTTTTTTACAGATTTCTGAAATGGGAAACTCTGCAGACGCCATGCTGTCTGCTTAGCGTGCTCTTGTAGCATCAAACGCCGCTTACGGAGTAACTTGAGTTTTTTATTAATACAAATGAGAAGAACACAAATACAACTTTAACAAGAGGCCCATGGGCCACATCGCTCACCTGAGCACTAAGGGTAGGAAAAAGTAGAAAATGGCTTTTTATTGTAAAGTTTAAATCCAAAAATAGTCCCATGACCAGTCATGGATTTGCTATTTTTTAGAAAATGATTTTAAAGAATTTTCCTATATATATCTTTAAAAACTTTGGTCGGCCATTTTGGCCCTGCCCTACCCCCGGGGGTCATGATTTGAAAAAATTTGAATCTACACTACTTGAGCATGCTTCCATATAAATATGATGAATTATGGCTTTGTCATTCTTGACAAGAAGATTTTTAAAGAATTTTCCTATATATTTCTATGTAAAACTTTGGTCGGCCATTTTGGCCCCGCCCTACCCCTGGGGGTCATGATTTGAACAAACTTGAATTTACACTACCTGAGCATACTTCCATATAAATATGATGAATTATGGCTTTGTCATTCTTGAGAAGAAGATTTTTAAAGAATTTTCCTATATATTTCTATGTAAAACTATGGTCGGCCATTTTGGCCCCGCCCTACCCCTGGGGGTCATGATTTGAACAAACTTGAATCTACACTATCTGAGCATGCTTCCATATAAATATGATGAATTATGGCTTTGTCATTCTTGAGAAGAAGATTTTTAAAGAATTTTCCTATATATTTCTATGTAAAACTTTGGTAGGCCATTTGGCCCCGCCCTACCCCCGGGGGTCATGGTTTGAACAAACGTGAATCTACACTACCTGAGGATGTTTCCCCATAAGTTTCATCTTTCCTGGCACAGTGGTTCTTGAGAAGAAGATTTTTAAAATATGCCACCAAATTTTCATTAGTTCCCAATTATCTCCCCTTGAATGAGGGCGTGGCCCTTCATTTGAATAAACTTGAATCCCCTTCACCCAAGGATACTTTGTGGCAAGTTTGGTTGAAATTGGTCCAGCGGTTCTTGAGAAGAAGTCGAAAAAGTGAAAAGTTTACAGACAGACGGACAGACAGACGGACGACCGGACAAAATGTGATCAGAAAAGCTCACTTGAGTTTTCAGCTCAGGTGAGCTAAAAAAGAGAAATTTATTATTCTAAAATTGAAAAAGACACAATTTTCATTTTCATTGGTTACGCTTCAGTAAACATTGTTATTATTTATATTATTTTATCAAAGTTACATAATTTTACACCAAATACATCATAAACAAGTCAAATATAAATTTTCTTAGGTTGGTGCGTTAACAATTTTGTCTAGTGTATGTCTAATAGCTTTGATACTCAATTATCAATGCAACAAAAAGTGTAAGGGACGCTATGATAATAAAAAGAAAGAAAATAACAAAGAAAAAACTATCAAGAAGGGTTGAAAATTCTTCCCGTGATATTCCTTCACTATCATTGATATCTGATGCATTTTCTGTGTTTTCTGACACAAACTCTTTGGAAGATAGAATTCCATGACGGTTTATGTAAAACTCGTCAGCTCTGACTTCTGGGGCACGATCAGTCTTATTACGACACCATTTACGTTTAAAGCAACACACATTAGCAAGAAAGTTTGCAAAAGCTTTTGTACATGACGACAAGCTTATTTTGGTCGTTGCGACTTGAATTTCCACTATAACTATAAGGATGGACAGCGTTGATGTTGTCAGAATGACTGCTAGGTATACGGCTGTAAAAGAAATAAAGAGTCTTGTCATCAGAAAAAAGTTAATTATTAAGAAATCAGGTTTCATTTGCTGAGGAAAAATTATTGGAAAAGATCTCTTTGAGAAAACAGGTTCATTTCCGAGTTAGACGATCGTTTTATGTAATCTACATTTCTTATTTAAATTTTCATTGAATTTAATGAAAATTTATGATTAAAAACATTTGATGTATATTGTCTTTAAGCATCTGATAAAATGAAGACTCAAGCTTACATAGGTAGCACACAGTCACAGAGGTGCTAGGGATATGGTCCGCAATTAATGTTAGATACACAGCATAGGACAAGAGTACCGTCAAAGAATACCCAATTTTCTCCTCCATGATACTCAACTTAAACACAAAAGGAATGAGCATGCCCATAAGAAAGACTGGAAATATGGTGTTAATTGTGTGGAACAAATAACGTCTTTTCAACTTTAGTTCAAGAGATAAACTTGCGTATTTTAACCCATTCCTAGATTTCGACTGTTCCCCCGATGACAATCCGCCAGCAGAAGCAACTTCCCATTCTCCGTTTGGAATATAATCAGAGAGATCTACTGCGTTCTCATCGAAGCGAAGATCAATTTCACCCTGAGTGTAGCCGGAGGTTGTTATTTTAATATGGCAGGTCTGTTCATCGAACGGATAATATGTGACGACACTTTCACAGGACACTTTGTATACCCCTGTTGGAGTTCGCATTACTTCACCATTTGGGTTAATTCTCATTGGCATATTTTCATCGTTGATGACTGCTAAATCTTCCACTCTGAAATGTAGAATTTAAAAAATCAGATTGATTTCTTTATGTAGACGATCTATTGCTGCAATATAGCGAAATGTTAGCATTTAATAATGATATTTAGCACTTTCCCTTCGTCTAATGTTAGGCAATAAGGCACATTTCATATAGGCCCAACGATGAATGCCAATGGCAATATCTTACTGAAAATGGGCATTTGAATGCATATGGCCAATAAAATAGTATTACATTGGCCCAACATTGCATTGTGTGCATGAACGTTGGCCCAATGTCGGATTTACATCAGACATAATGTAGTATAATTAGCATTAAGTATGGAACGCCAACACTGCCTTATAGCATACAACTATGCATTTATTATGTCAATTTATCATTACGTGATGTGAACATATCTTTACGTTATGTCAATTTTTTATGAGATTATGTAAAAATATCTTTACATCATGTCAATGCTGCATTACATGAAGTAAATACATCCTTTCATTATATCAGCACTTCATAACTTGAAGTCGAAAATTCATTATGTGAAGTGATAATATGTTTACATTGTGTTTAAACTTTATTACGTGAAATGAATGTTTCTTTACATCATTTCATTTCTTTAATATGTGAGGTCAAAATTGCATTACGTCAAGTGAATTGTGTTTTATAATTAAACTTATCATTACATGAAGTCAAAAATCCATTCCTTTTTGAGAGTGTATATTTCTATTATATCAAAGCATTATTACATGATATGGGTTTTTCTTTATTTTACGGCGAAAGCATCATGATGTGAGGTGAACACATCTTTCCTTTATGTCAGTGCTTTATTACGTGGTTTAAAAAGTGTATGACATTATGTGAACATATCTTTATATTATATCAACACTTTATCACATTATGTCAAAACTCAATTCCGTGATGTGGATAAATAATTACGTTATGTCAACTCTTTCTTATGTGATCTTAAAATATCTCTATATTGTGTTAACTCTTTATCATGTTGATTCCAAAAGTGCATTACCTGATGTAAAAATACATTTACAATTTCTCAAAGCTGTATATCTGGTATAAAATGAATGTTGACGACCGTGTTTTTATGACTGGTAAGAGGAGGGGGGGGTCCTGATTGATTAGGAAGAATTACAGACACAAAATATCAGCCCCGCCCCCCCCCCCCCTCTTTTCCCAGACATAACTTTACAATAGAAAATGTAATGTTCATTGAAAGTACAGCCCCCACCCCCACTTTTTGTTGAATTATAGTCCACTGAGGGTAATGTAATATATCTGACAAAAAAATTAGGACTGATCGAAGTTGGACCCCCTCCCCGAAATAGGATTTTCGGGCTTGGAGTGGACAATTATTTTTTTTTTTGGCTTCTCAAGTTTTTTTTCGGGCGAATATTCTTTTTCTGGCTGACCCCCCCCCCCCTTCTTTCGAAAAAAAGATGATTTGTCACTGGAATTAGTAATTTGTTCAACCATTCCAGGGCCAGAATTCTATCATAAAAATCTACCAATCCCTCATCTAAATCAATTGAATATGTCTTAGTAAGCATGCATGGGCACATATCAGTAGCGGATTTGAGAATCTTGAACAAAAAAAATTGTCCAAGCCTGAAGGGGGACGGTCTATGGTTGGAGACCAAGGGGGAAAGCGGAGAAGCTCTCAGGCTTTATAGTTTTATAAAATAGTTTTCAACTTAATTCAGCTAAACTCAATGTGAAACTAATGCAATGTCCTACAAAGTAAAACCAATAAATTTATTAATTTTATGTACTTGTAGATTTTGGTCACTAGAGATGGTAGGGCGGGATTTCCCCCTCCCTAAAACGATGTGTTTACATTTAAAAAAAAAAAGAAAAGTTCAAGACTGATAAAAAAAAAACGTATGACAATGTTCTAAGTAAGCTCAGAAGTTTAAGACTTTTATCCAAAAAAAAAAAAACAAACAAACAAACAAACAATTCAAAATACGAGTAAAAAGAAGAAAAAAATTGCTGCACGACTCATATTTTTTTATTTATTTAATTATCAGATTAAAGTAAACGCCATTGAATTTCGACATGACTTTAATTCACAGTCGCAGTGTTAAGGCTTTGCACGTTTCAAGATTGTCAATCCTTTGTCGCTTAAAATTTTTATTCAAATCGCTGAGATTTCTTCTACGACAATTTTCTCTCCCGCCAATTTAGTGCTTGCGGAACGCGGAAAATACGTTATGCTCATATAAAGGCCGAGGATACCCGTGTTCGCATAACGTAATAGTGAATCGACATAATGTAGTAGTGTAAGTTAATATCATAAAGAATTGACATAATGTAATGATAGGTTAACACAATGTTATTGTTGTTTAATTAAATGTCATGAACAGTAAACATAACGAAATACAAGAATGTGTAAATGTCATAAAGTGTTGACATAATGTAAAGGAAGGTTTACACGATGCAATAGTAGTGTGGGATAATATTATAAAGAATTGACACAATATAATGGAAGGTTGACACAATGCAGTAGTAGTGTGGGTTAATGTCATAAAGAGTTGACATAATATAATGGAAGGTTGGCATAATGCAATAGTAGTGTGGGTAAATGTAATATAGAGTTGACTTTATGTATTTAGGAAGGTTGACACAATAAAATAATAGTAGAAGTAAATGTCATAAAGTGTTGACATAATGAAACTGAAGGTTGACACAATGTAATAGTAGTGTGGGTTAATGTCATAAAGAGTTGACATAATATAATGGAAGGTTGACACAACGCAATAGTAGTGTGAGTAAAAGTCATAAGGAGTTGACATAATGTAATGGAAGGTTGACACAATAAAATAATAGTAGAAGTAAATGTCATAAAGTGTTGACATAATGAGACCGAAGGTTGACATAATGTAATAGTAGTGTGAGTAACTGTCATATGGAGTTGACATTATGTAAAGGAAAGTTCACACAATGCAATAGTAGTGTGAGTAAATGTCATAAAAAGTTGACATAATGTAAAGGAAAGTTCACACAATGCTATAGTAGTATGAGTTAATATCATGTAGAGTTGACATAATGTAATAGAAGGTTGACACAATGTAATAGTTGTGTGAGTAAATATCATAAAGAATTGACATAATGTAATGGAAGGTTGACGCAGTGCAATTGTTGTGTTCTGCTATAAGGCAGTGACGGCGTTCCATAATTAAGGGTCGGAAATACGAAATTAGAAGTATAAGTTCAAATGCCATCTATGTATTATGTTTGAGCCTTCTACTTTTTCTTTTGTTGAGTTTTGTTTTATGAAAATACCTTCATCAGGGCCATAGAAAGCAATTTCAGTTGGGGGGATGGGGAGTAAACCATATATTTTCAGCTAGGGGCACTAAAAACTACTAAAAATTCCCTTGACCAACAAACTCATTTCATCAGTTGATGTCATAATGTTGAGCTTTCATTCTGCATAATGATCGTTTTACTGCACCAAATATAAGTACACCAACCAATCAAAAAGTGTTTACAAATTAACTACCGTGTCTAATATCTTACGAGTTCTCTACATAAATTGCCGGTGTCCATGTGTTTTCCTCCGTATTAAAAAGAAATTGAACAGCTGAATAATCCGAATTATTCGCCCACTCTAGACGAGGATCAAACCAATTCTACAAAATCCAGGATACACCGGTTTAAAATCGTTAAATATGAAATAAACGCGTCATTAAATTTTCCTCTGGTATTATTTAAAATCATTAGTTTATTCATTCATTTATTTTTTCAATACTCCGTTTGAGAAATATGCCAGAATTATACTCTATTTCGAAAGTTCACCTTTATTGTTTAAAAACAGGATTTTTCAAAAGAAAAATAATTTGGTATTGCATCAACAATATTTATAATTTTCATTATTAGATTATTAAATGGAAACATAACTAACCATGGACAGCATCCCAGATACAGAAAGACTTTGCTCAACAATATTCTGTAAAAAAAATGTAATATAAATTATAAGAGATGTAAGACAAAATTATTTCATTTATCAAGGTTCATGAAATATATGCAGTAAAAGTCATTACGTTTATCATATTGTTTGGTGGCTAGATTACCATTAACGTCCTTTTAAGTAAAATATCCAAAATGAAAGAGATGTGTCAGAATGTGGTATCTTTTATTATCTCTAGCTCATTGGGATATATCGATTAAGAAAAAATGAACAGTGCTCAGCTAACAGATCCATTGAATAAAATAAATACAAAATAGAAGAAAACACGTATGTACGAGGGTTGATCTAAATGAAATGTCACAACTTTATATTAAGGGATAGGAATGCTGGGGTGGAGGTGGGTCTTCAAAATAGACGTGCTTCATGTTAGCGGTGGTGAGCGCGCGAGTGTGAATGACTCGCTGAGCTAACCACGTGACCTTACACAATCCCTCAGGCAAGGCGTGGATCTGAGAATTTTCACAATTTACCAACGTAAATGTTTCTGGAAACCTCCAAACAAATTATCGCATTAAATACATAAATACAATTATTATTCTAATAATTGTTGTTTTATGTCTTCTAATGCTTATAGGCAAGATCACCGCAGCTTGTTTTTGCTAATTTTGTAAAAGTCAAATAAAACACTTTCATGTTGATGAATAATGTCATTTATTAAAATGACGATATAAATGTGAACAATTTAACAAACAAGAAGGGGGATCAGATTCACAAGCTTTACTTATCAGTTACGTAAAATATGATAATGTCTGATCCCCCAAAAATGACTAGAAAAAAGTATCTGTAAGACAAGACAATCAAAACATCATATAAAAAAGTTAGCAAATAGATGGCACATCAAAACAAAATAGGCCACAAGATGTGATATGCAGGTCACATCCATGTAAAATGTGACATGTAAATCACATCCGTGCCATCCAAGGTGAGCTTGCACACATCAAGTCTATATGAAGGCAGTTAATCACTGGCCTCTCCACACATTTCAACTTAAAGTAATGAAATGAAAAATAAAAATCTACCTTTCATTAATTATTCCGTTACCAGTTATCACGAAAATGAAGTTACATGTCATATAATGAAGGAAATACCTGTATTAACATAATATCCGAGCAATGTTAATAAATAACGATATTGAGTAATACATGTAAGTATGGAAGAAAACTAATTTCAGAGTAATTAAATGACAAATCGAAAAGTATTGTTTATTGAGCCAGCAAGTAACGAAGTCAGATGAGGAGTATTTAGATATCCAACAGCAGTTATTCACCGACCTGTCAATGTGGGAATGAACATGTTCCTTAAGGTATTTTCAATTGTAAGAGTAGAACAAAACAGCAGTTAAATAACTGACCTGTATTTACATTACATCTTTAGTGAGTATCAAAATATTTATCGCGAGTATAACAAAACAGCAGTTAAATCACTGACCTGCATTTAAATTACATCCTAATATCTAACTAATTTTCACGCGTAGAACAAAACAGCAGTTAAATCACTGACCTGTATTTAAATACATCCTAGTATCTAACTATTTATCATGAATAGAACAGAACTGCAGTTAAACACTGACTCGCAATTAAACTACATTCTAGAATCGGACTAATGGGAGTAGAACAAAAACAGCTATTAAATGCTAGATATTTATTAATATTATTATTATTTTTTTTTTTTTCTTCATTTATTTACATATGTATTTATTTATTTATTTATTTATTTTTTTAAGAAGAACAAAACAATAATTACCATTGACCAATATTTGATCTTCATTCTTGTGCATTACAGATTATGTGAACTTATTAAGTTTAAGTGATTTTAAGCAAATATATATATGCCATGCATTTGAACTGTTGTCCTTCAAAATCCTAATAGAGATTTCTGAACAGTTTGTCTGTGTCTCATGAGTAGCTTACCATATACAAATTTGCAAAAGATCCAGACTTACAGATTTCCCTGCTTTGAAAAATTATTATATTATGCTAGCGGCCGGGGGCTACATGTATCTATCGAGAGCATGCATATTCCAGATCTGTCCCTGACAATGACAATATGAAACATATCTTAATGAATTATCTAAATGGTGTGTAGCACTTTGTTTATTTAGTAGTTTCAATTATTATCAGGATTAATGGTTGAGATCTATTATGTCAACAAACTTAAATTTTGACAAATTCAACCTAGTGATGAGTGAGAATGCTTTTAGTATAAGAAGTATTTTATTCATAATATACAAAGTGTACAATATGAATATGGATTGAACAGCAGGCCAAGGGCCTGTATTAGTTCTCTCCTTTTGAGATCAAGGTACAATAAAATTACTGTACATACTTAAGTTCCACAAAACATGTAAAATAAATTGATATTGAGAGAATTATGAAAAATACATGATTGAAGAAGATAATAAGTTCACCATGTAATATTGTGTCAATTGAAAAGTCGGTTCTAAAGTTTAGAATTTATTGTAAGTCCAAAAATCTAAATTTCACAAATATGATTTGGAACAAATTTCATAGATAGACTAACACAAGAATGTTCCTAGATTGCCTTCCTTACAAACTCACAAATCTGTTCTTGACAACTCTGCCTACTTTCATACTGACCGGCCAATTAAAATTAAGGATAGAAAATGTCATGAACATAGAGAATCTGTAGACATTAATTTACCACACTGAAATTAGGTAGAGCGAAGCATAGCAAATTCAAAGAACGTAATCCTAGGATGTAACCATAAATTTGATAACAAGCTTGAGTTAATAACATTGCTATCGTCAGACAGGAAAGAGATGTCAAGAATGAAATACTGCCACCATGTGCAAAAATGCCTTTCCTAAATATCAAAAGAAAACGATTACCTTTCAACTACAGATGTCAAACAAGACCGAAAATTAATAGAATTTTCATATAAAAATATGTTGGAGAAAATTTTACATGGGGTTAATTAAAGCAAATTAATATTTAAAGATAAAGACCGGAGAAACGTACAATGTACAACATGAGCTAGTAACTCCAAACGATGTCTAACATTATGCTGTCTATTAGAAACTTTTTAAAATAATTTTATCATTATTATTATTATTATTGTATTCTAGCCTGGCAATGCTTAATTTCCGAAAAGGGACGCAAATTGAAAAACCTTTTATTTAATGTACTGACCGTGCATGAGGTCTGTACTAATTTATAAAAATAAATTAAACCTATATTTACCAGCTATATAGGGAACTTATTTGAATTTTTATGGAGGGGGGATCTTCCTATATTATTTACTTGCTGACTCGCCTGTAAATGTTTTATTTGAAACCAAATTGAATGATGTAGCTGGTATGAATGCTTTGTGAACCAACGGTAGTGGATATCCTGGTTACACGACTGATTTGGGGCACACCTGTAGCAGCACTGCAGCAGTTTAGCTAGCAAACATATGAATCTTATACCGGCTGATCGCATGAAAGTTGTTGGTAAAGACAAATTGTATCTGGAATAACACTAGTGGACGGGCTGGTTTAGGACATTATCCCCCGGTGGCGCGAATCCTATGCAATTTGTTAGATAAAACAGCTCGCTAAGTCAATATTTGTTAAACAGTTCAAACCTGTATCAATAACATTAGATTCATGGCATCCGGCACAATTCTGCTGGGCTCTCTGGGCTATTAACAGTTATAGCTACGCTTCCTCTACTCGGGCTGCTAGGATGTAGCAAATATGCACACTGGCAAATTCATCAAAGGGCATCTGCAACTTAAACATGAAAATTATATGAATACTTTTTAAGTCTAAGGTGTCATTTAAAGAAAGGACGCCAAAAACCAACAACTGAGTTGTAAAGAAAGTGATACATCATGTACATTATCATGCTCATAGAAAAACTAAATGTAACAACCTTGAACAGAAAGAGTAAACTTTTTCCTGTAGACTAACCTTGATAGCAGTATATATTGTATTACAATCATACTGATAATAATCGATTAATTCCCTGCTGAGAGGATTCGCTTTGACGAAATTCTACATGTTCCGGGATTCTACCAATTTCATCAAACGAAATATTAAAGAATAAATCTATTAACTCCATAACAAAAGATAAAAATGTCACATGTATAGGAGATACCACTATTTGTAACACGTACTTTGTAACAACTAAGAACTATTGTGATACTCTTACTTAAAATTGACTGCAATGAACATGAAATGAAGTTGCCATTATGTTTAGATGTAATAGGGCATATATACTTTAAAACAAAACAGTGAAAATATGGATAACTTCGACCTATATGCATACATATAAACTCCGCACAGAACATGAAGATCAAGCGTACGGGTAACTCTAAACTAAATGAAATCCTGCTACATTAGACGCAAATGTCATAATGTGCAAACAAATACATAACTGCCTCTTATTGGCATATATGTAAAATCTACAAGTATACTAGGAACAAACTCCTTTAACATAGGTATGCCAATGCATAACGAATTTAAGTCATTGATCTTGGTAAGTTTCATTTCTTCGACCACAGTCCATGTCGTGTTAACTTAAAAAATCTCCAAATCAAAAAAAAAAAAAAAAAAAAAAAAAAAAAAAAAAATCTAACACGACAAAAACTGTTACTGGTACAAGGAAACCCTTAGCCTTGTACTTATCTTATACATGTGAATAGGTACAAATAAATAATGAACCCTAGACTCCCACACAATAAGAACATATATGCGGCCTACTCTGTACTATTGCTAAACACCGTGGGTAGGCACATTTAAACTTTGTACCAAAAACTCCCACACAATAAGTACATGTATGCGGCCTACTCTGTTCTATTGTCAAACACCGTGGGTAGGCACAGATAAACTTTGTACCAATAAACACCCACACAATAAGTACATATATGCGGCCTACTCTGTACTATTGTCAAACACCGTGGGTAGGCACAGATAAACTTTGTACCAATAAACACCCACACAATAAGTACATATATGCGGCCTACTCTGTACTATTGTCAAACACCGTGGGTAGGCACAGATAAACTTTGTACCAATAAACACCCACACAATAAGTACATATATGCGGCCTACTCTGTACTATTGTCAAACACCGTGGGTAGGCACACATAAGCTTTGTACCAAAAACTCCCACACAATAAGTACATATATGCGGCCTACTCTGTACTATTGCTAAACACCGTGGGTAGGCACAGATAAACTTTGTACCCAAAAAAACTCCCACACAATAAGTACATATATGCGGCCTACTCTGTACTATTGTCAAACACCGTGGGTAGGTTCATATATAAATTTATACCCCTACAAGTCCACACGATAAGTACATTAGGCCGAAATAATTTCGATTCAATAATAAACAAACTTGTGAACTAAACAAAAAACTCTGTACCGTAGCTCCATTTTATCAAGATTATAAATTTGGGAAACTGATTCATATGGTAAAACTTAATCCATATAACCGTGTCTAAATGAATAATTTCTACATAAGACCGAAACCACTGTCATTAGAAGATTAGAAGAACCGAACAAATGTACAAATTCTATAATTTCCACAGAAACGCGAGCTAACAAAAACTTGCTGTGTAATTTTTAATAATTCAAAAATATTAAATGGCTTGACTTTAAAATTCAATCCTTGCTTTTAATCAACAGAATTTGCTGACAAGCTTTATCTATATAATCTTTCCTATTCATAAACTTCTCAAAGCATACGCAACACGTTGTGCAATAAAATGATTAAGAATACGATACTGGCCTTATTATTAAGACGACTGAATTATCTGCATTCCTATACAACGAAACCACGTCCGCATTGGCTGGTCGTGCAAGGGGGTGCAGCACAGATGTACACCAACTCGACTTGATAGCTCAGGTTCATCCTGAAACCTCTGTGGCTCCACAAAGACCGTCATGATCTCCAGCTGCGTATTTGTTTTCCATCAACGCCATCGTGCAGATACTGCCTTTGATGAATATTATCACAACTTCTCGCCAAACAAATCCGTGTCTCCATTGATATAAATGTGTTCAGTTTTAGTCGTTTAGTTTAACAAACAACAAAAATCAGAAATCACGCGCATTATGTGGGTATATGGAAATCTCTGTCCTTTAATTAACGAACGAATGCCAGTTCAAAACACAACACAAAGTTAATAAAGTCCAGTTCATCATCAGAAAAATATACTCCACATGACTCCACATGGGCATTGCAAAATCTGCACATGTGAATAACACACACGTCTATCACAAATTGTGGGCAACACCCTCGGTTAAGTAAACAAAAAATAATCTCAAACAGCACAAATCTTGCAAATTGTGACAATAATCAACAAATGATGGAATAAGAAAGCACTTCTCTTGGCTGACCATAACGATCACAAAAAATTGTGATTTCTTCAAAATAGACGTGCTTCATGTTAGCGGTGGTGAGCGCGCGAGTGTGAATGACTCGCTGAGCTAACCACGTGACCTTACACAATCCCTCAGGCAAGGCGTGGATCTGAGAATTTTCACAATTTACCAACGTAAATGTTTCTGGAAACCTCCAAACAAATTATCGCATTAAATACATAAATACAATTATTATTCTAATAATTGTTGTTGCATCGACGTAAAGCAACAAAATTATACAAGATAAAAGCTTTATTTAATTCAAATCAGACCTGAAAAATTGAAAGGAATATGATGAATACTTTTCAAAATATCGGATTTTAAACAATGCACGTTTATGGTTGTTGCCGAACCTAAATATAACGTCATTTGACGGATACACACCGTCATACTTTTAAGCGTTTTCTCCTCGTTTCATTTAAAAACCTTTGTGATTCGCAAACATTTTCATCAATTCCTCTTTCTTTAATAATTCTTGGTACCATTATACACTCACTCTTTTCATAATTAAGCCCTTTGTCAAAATTTGTTAACAGTAGCATAAGACAAACTTAAAAGTTCACAAGTCACTCTATACGTCTGTCTTTTTTGACAACGTCAGACACCATTGAACGTTTCTGTTCGATCTCTTATCTTTCGGTCTTCTTGTCTTCTGCTAATTATTCAGTGACCAATCACCCATTCCAAAATTACTGAATCCATCTATTAATATGTCTCTTATTTACATTCTTTATTCTTTAAGTCTGATTGATCAACAAAAATGTCGCTAGTTATGATTCCCATATTTTGAAGCAAAAATGCATTACAATTCGTTGAGCCTTTTCCCCCCATTTCGACAATCTCTTTATTCAATTCAACATAGTAAAACAACAAATGTTTATGATCATAAATACCAATGCCGTCATTTAATTTTCAATTAAAGACTAGAAAATGACGAGAATTGTGTCTTTGAAACAAAAATTAGGAGATTAGGTGTTTTATTAGAAACTTTTTAATGTGTTTGTCTTTTTCATTCTTTAAATGTACACTTTCATTCTTGACGTTTATATGTGATTCGGCGACACCCCCTATGTTCTATGTTTTCCACATCTATAAAATAAATTCAAAAAAACATCAGTAAATTAAAATTTCAATGTTAATTAGATTTATATTTGTGCATCTTTTGGTGTATTGTATTTGATAATATAACACCAAATATAAAAGATATGGACACTATGACATTACTTTTGGATGTTTACAGAAGCTATCACGTGAAACATGCAACATTTGAACGTTTAAAGTTGTAAAATGGCTGAACAATCAAAGATAGAACTTATTAAGACGGATCGGAATCGTTCCAAAAGAAGGGCGTTTTCGGAATAGGTGGAGCAGTGAGCAGTGATGAAATTCTGCGTAGACATCGGATAAGCACCTACAGAGACCGATACATTTTGTAAACAATCGGGAAAACATAGTAAAAGAAGCCGTACACTAGTATTTAAGTGGCTGATAATTTTTTCGAAGGGATTGGACAGTTTATAGGATTACATGCATGAAGAAAAACCATCATTCCGAGATTGCAGTGCTGTAAAAATAAATTGCGTAACGTGACTTTACCGTATTTCCGTAAATAAAATCGTTTTGACGAGGACAGAGGTTGGATGATTACAGGATATGAGACAGACAAAAATATTATTATACATGTGAAACCTGAACATTTTGTGCACATATTTATGAGTGTTTAAAGCGACATAAGAAATGTATTGAGTTAAACGGTGACTATGTTGAGAAAAGTTACATGTACTCCTTATGCTTTTGACGTCGGGTAACGTCAAGAATTTTCATTTTAATGCTCCGGGTATGAGTGTATGTCTTTTTTAATCTAATAAAAATATAACTATTTGTGCTTTGTTTTTGTTGAAAACTTGCATGTTAATAAAATGAAACATGAATTTAATGAAAATAATAGTTTCATATATTTTATCAATGTTTGTCAGTAATTATCAATGTTGTCCACGAACTTTACGGACAACCCTCGTATATGGTCTGCTGGGGTAATAATGTATTGTAAAGCGCTCTGAGTAGCATTCATGCTAGAAAAGCGCTATATAAAATCAACAATCATCATCATCATCATCATTTCATATTAACAAGATGTGTTTATGAAACAATATGCGCCCGGCGGCAACAAATTTCGAAAAAGCTATTTTAAGCCTATAGGTAACACTCAAGTTCACAAGGCAAGTGACCTTTGTGTTGTTTGAAAGAACCGGATCAGTAGAGTATGCACACCAAATATGAAGTCTCAGTCTTTCAAGGTTCAAAAGTGATGGCAACGTTTAAACTTAGCAGACATAAAGCTATTTTTAGCATATATGTCATAGTCAAGGTCACAAGGTCATTTACCTTGGTGTCATAGGTTAATTATCTGAGTATGCATACTAGTACTAGTAGTTTCTATCTTTCATGGTTCAAAAATTATTACGAAGGTTAATGTTTGCAGACAAACATACAGACAGATAGAACAAAACAATATACGCCCCAAATCTATCGATCCAGGCTCATAAAAATATCATGCCAACGTTATGTCAACGCATAATGCATTCGTGCATTTGTATACAAAAATCAATATATTTTTATCTGTATTCAACACGGTATGTCATTTTAATAGACCTCCATAAATATGGCTAACATGTAAAAAATTGACGCACTTGTCGAAGGTATCGATGGAATAGCGGATAAAGGAAACGGTGTTTACTGTTTTCACATAAAATATGATGCCTAAACTAAAATAAGGTTAAACTCTATATATTTGTTCTTACGCATTTAGGAACGTGGTTGTTATAGTAGTTTTGAATTGATTGTAGGTTTTCATCATGTAAAAAATGACGTCACAATTACATACGTTTGCAAACAGCGTCGTGGAGTTTCCCGAAAGTGACAGAACTAGGGAATTGACGGAGTTAGGGCGTTTGGCGATACTGTGAGAAAGGTATCTAAAGTTACCAAATTTCAAATTTATTAAATAGACTCCTTCGATCTTAAACCAAATTGTGAATTATTCTTAGTTTTACAATAATTAGAAACACTAAAGCTCACACTCTTTCCCTTTTAAAAAATATCACTGATCATAGAAACAAAGTTATGTGCTAAAATTATAATCAACACCGTCTTGTAGGTATTCAAATCACAATTTTTGTTTTCTCTACATACAAAACACGTTTCTACGTACCAGATCATTGATAGTATACAGCATTAAACTGACATTAACGGTGACAACAGATGATGGACGGACAAGTGTGGAGTAGTTTCCACTGAACAGATCACTTAAAAGAGTTGCCTCTAGATCTGATGAGTACTGAGTATACCCTGGCTGTAACTGGCAGAAGAGTACTATTTAAAATCAAAATATCAAAATCAGTACGTTGTTAATGTAAATCATGCAATATTTATACATACATAGACACTAACATTTTTTGAACTCTTTTCAAAAAATATAAAATAAATATAAATCTGGTTATATTGCATTTATTTCAGTAGATGTTAGAGTCAAAGAGAGTGAGTTTCTAAAAATAAAAAAAAATATATAGAAATTAATAATTCAAGATGGACAATTCTTCCAATTATAATGTAGGTATTTTTCTTTGGCAACATATACTAATAAACTTTATTAATACCACAATTTTGCATACAAGGTTTTATAATTATTTAAAATGTCTTTTCTTTTTCTTTCTTTGTAAAATTCAGCTATAAAAGTCGCATTTTAAATTAATTAAGCTTTTTGATTTATAGATTGTAAGAACTCATCCTACCTAAAAATACACCAGATACAAAGTTTACAACTCTCATCTTCTTCAACATCTTCATTTCAATATGATATATATCCTGGAATGGTCAATTCATGTTCAAAATGAACAAAATTAAATTAGAAGTCGAATGAACTGTAGTAGATTTCAAACAGTGTGCTATACAGACATGCTTAAGTATGTTAGATCTTTGAATTTTGAAAATTAGACATAAATAATTCAGAATGATTTATTTGTCTTCTTATTAAACTTACATGTATCTTCCATTTCATATATGCTATAATTTGTATAGTAAATATCATTCATTTTGCAGCATATCAATACTTCTTGATCATGTTAATGTGTCATATAAATCTGATATTTACCATGTTGACTAAAAGTCTAATTAACTATATAATTAAAAGAAATGGGGGAAGCAGATTAAAAGAAATGGGGGGGGGGGGGCAACTTCTCTTACACTTTATCCCTATATTTTCCTTATATCACAAAAAGTTGGGTGGGGGGCAAAAATTGTGGGATTAAATCCTTTGGTTATACGTGCCTGAATAATAATTTACAATTTTAAATTTTATATCATATTGATACACATTTAGGGTCTTTGGCAATGTTAAACAGTTGCTCTGAAGACGTATTTTTGGTGAACTTTTCTACGATAGAAATTTTTTAGGAATATTTCTTTAATCATATAGAGCTAAAGAGAAAGATCTTACATAAAAAAGATTTCCAATTTAAGCTTATTTCTGATTTTTTTTTTTCAAAGAAATAATTTTACAAGATATCGTTCCTGGTTGAGGCGGTATTCCTAATTGTTTTAAAATACATTTACCGTAATGAAAAAATTATTTAGTTACGAATATGAATAAAGACGTCAACATACAAATGGATATATTAATTGGAAATTCTTCATAATAAAAAAGAAAAAAATATAAAAGCAAAATACATGTATAAATTTCTTACTTAAATACAGAATGCAAAGAAATTTACCCTAACTAAACTTACCCTGCTTATTCTCTTCTGTGCTTATAGCATAAAATGATTCAGAAAATACACAAACGGATTCTAATTCTGCCCAGTTTAACCTCTTACTGAGCGTTCAAGTGTATTAATTTAGTGTATCATGAATTGAAATGCTCATTTACCATGGAATAAGAGTACAGTATATCCCTAATCATTTCTGTACAAGAAAGGTCACACCAGGTGATGTGTGAAAACGCCGGGTAGTTGAACAACAATTATGATGCTTTTAAAACTTGATTTAATTTAGCTATTTTTCTATCAATATCAATTCAGACTTTTGGACCCCTTTTAAAGGTACTTGGACACAGATTTGAAGTTATTATTTTCTCTATAATATTACGACTTATATATTTTAATAGCATTTCACACAAAAATTAATTAAAAATCTTATTTCGTTTAAAAGATATTGAAATTTCAAATTTTTGGCGGGTTTGATTGACATATCGTTGCACTCTCACAAATTTAATTTTATTCTTAATCCTTAGGAAAAGTGGCAATCTCGTTTTGTATAAATGAAAAATATTAATACTATAATCCAGAAAATTCAGAGTAGACACGTTCGAAAGCAAAACAAACACACAATATATTGTCAGTCCGTGCAGTTGTGGTAAGCAGACTGTGACGATTGAACGCACCCGGTGAATTCTAAATATAAACAATAACAGAACTCGAGCCCTGTTTACAAAAACTGTGTACATAACACGAGTGTGCTCGATTTGCTAAACTCTGCACGCATCTCTTAGTTCGGAATGACGATACTTGTGAAGGTGTTTTGCTTTCTAACATTTCTACTCTGAATAAAATTATTTTTCTTGATGAAAGTTTTATTATTCTCATTAAAACACATCAAAATTGCCACTTTTCCTAAGGATTAAGAATAAAGTTAAAATTTGTGAAAGTGCAAGGATGTGTCAATCAAACCCGCCAAAAAATTTAAAGTTTAAATAACTTTTAAACGAAATATGATTTTTAATTAATTTTTGTGTGAAATGCTATTAGAATATATAATTCGTGATATTATACAGAAAAAATGAGAAAATATTAACTTCAAATCTGTGTCCAAGTACCTTTAAATTCATGACATATTGTGAAAATACTCAGAATAGGTTAAATAACTTTTTTATTTGTATTCTGTTAACTGAGTTTACTATTTTCCCTGATGCATAAAACATAAATAGATATTATGATACTATGTACAAGTATTGTAGAGTAGACCTTCCTAAAGCCCCCCATCCCCCCCACCCCCACCCCCCCCGTAAACTGACTCTAAAGTAGGATTTCCCCTGGAAAACTGGCTCTAGAGCAGGATTTCATATATGGAAATCCTACACCAGAGTTAATTTTCGGGGGGAAATCCTATTCTGTTTAGTAGTTATAGAGTGTGATTCCCCCCTGAGACAATTAGCACCCCCTAATAAAAGATAATTGATGTACCTACGAGGGGTGATCAAAAAGTTCGCGAACTAATTGAATAACTTCCATGAAAGAAACAATATTTGGTTTCAGTGTTAATTATTTTTAAAATTAGTCCTCTCCGATTTCATTGCACATCTGTCATCGTTCTGATCATGCGCGAATCACGTCACAAGAGCTGAAAGATTTTTCTTAGTTTAAATTTCTTTTCATGAAAGTTAATTTTTATAACAAAAATAGTTCATTTGTTAGAAATGGTCAAATCTCGGCAACAGAATGGGTGGATAAGAATTTCCTTTCCAAAAGAAGCATGGCGACCATCAAAACTTAAATCTTCTGTATTGGGAGAGACATTTATTCAAGGTGGATAGTGAATGGATGCCTCCTTTTTATCATATCTATTATGTTTAAAATTTAAAGTTAACGATATCATAGGTATTTAATAAGTTTTTTATTGTTGAAATATTCAAGTATTTTTCAGAGTGTATATTGGAGGTCTTTGATAGCAAATTGCTTAATTATAAACACATCTCTCTTCAAACTTGCTTTCACTGGGCAACAAAACAAGTATCATTTTAAACCATCTGCATTCCTTGACTAACACGACCAATCCAATCATTTATTAAATTTGTAGAAAGATATTTATCTTAATAACTGTGTACAAATTATTATACTCTACTTCAAAAGGATTTTTAAGATATACCATGAATTCTACAGTCGTTTGTTGAACGAGTACGAGTGAGACACCCATTTTTCGTCACAAGTGACCTGCATAGTGATGTCATTTTCACATTGTGACGTCACAATCAAGGACCCTAACTTTATTCAGCATATTCTATTTATAGACCCTGTGTATGGTTATGTGTGTACCATTTTTTATTAATCTGAAATGTGGTTTTGTAGATATAGAGATAGTTCGCGAATTACTTTTTGATCACCCCTCATATGTTTTGAAGGAGAGAGGGTTGGTACATTATTACAAGTGTCCCTTCTTTAAAATGGTGATCAGATTGAAGATACGTACACAAAGAATGAAAATGATTTTTTTTAAATCTCAGTATACGTTCACTCTTCGCCTGTCCGTCCATCTGTCTGTCTAGTTGTCCCTCTGTCTGTCCCGTATGATTTGTCGTACATGTTTGAAGATATATTGACCCGATTTTTGGTATGGAATGTATCTTACATGTATGCCTGAAAAGAAGGAAACACTTGCTGTGGCTTTCAACTCAAAATTTTGATATATCGACGACGTATTGTCAATTGACACTGGTAATTTCCATTCCTGTGTCGATACTATATATCATAGGGAGCTTCAGATAAAAGATAGAACAGAGTCTGACACATCTGTTTCATACTTTGGTATTTTACTGGAAAAAGACGTTAATGCTAATCTAACAACCAAGCTATATGATAAACTTGATAACTTTAACTTCCCTTACTTATGCAGCAATATACCTTCATCACCTGCGTACGGAGTGTATATATCACAGTTGATTTGAATACGCAATAGTATGTTCTACGAACAATTTTTAAAATGAGGTAAATTATTGACAAGCATACTGATGAACCAAGAATATCAACAGTCTCGTTGAATGTCATCATTTATAAGTTCTATGGTCGATACAATGACCTTGTCAGCAAATACAATGTATCATAAAGAATGCTGACTGAAGTTTTTCATACTATAACTTTTCGTCCATTATTTATGCAGTGAATTGACGACGGATTTGTCACTTATTTCCTGATCATGACAAGGAACACACAGCAGGTGTTACCGATCAGCAGGGGATGCTCACTCCTCTATTGCACCTGATCCCACCTCTGATGTTTCGGAGGTCCGTGTTTGCTCTGCTCCTATGTTGTATTGTTTAATGGACTTTGATATTTAATACGTTCGTTATCTCCATATCCATCTTGGTAAGTTAAATTTTGAATTTGCATATTATTCCGCTTCAATAAACAAATGATTAAGTTTTTACGAAATTACCTTTTCATTTTTTAAGGATTTTCCGCAATGCTTTTATGCGCCCGGATCGAAAGATCGGAGGCGTATATTGTTTTTGTCCTGTCTGTTTGTCTGTTTATCTGCTTGTCCGGTTCTCTGCAAATAACCTTCGTCATAATTTTTGAACCATGAATGAAGGAGAATTCATATTTGATATGCATACTCCACTAATAAACTCTTTCAAATGACACCAAAGTCAATGACCTTTTGACCTTGACTGTGACTTTTATGCTAAAAATAGTTTTTTTCTGCAAACTTTAACCTTCGCCACAACTTTTGAAGCATAAAAGATAAAGACTTCATGTTTGATATGCATACACCACTGATAAAGTACTTTAAAATGACACCATCGTCAATGACCTTGTGACCTTGACTGTGACATATATACTAAATATACCTTTTTGTCGGCAAACTTTAACCATTGCCATAACATTTGAACGAAGAAAGATAGAGACAATATTTAGCATGCATAGTCCACTTATGAAGTTATGCGCCCGAATTGAAAGATCTTAGGCGTATATTGTTTTTGTCCTGTCTGTTTGTCTGTTTATCTGTTTGTCTGCAAACTTAAACTTCACCATAACTTTTGAACCATGAATGAAAGACTTCAAATTTGGTATGCATAC